CCCCACCCCACACCGCCGCACTCTACCCAGGTGGTGGTGGCGCATTTGTGTCGCCAGGCAGGCGGAAACTTGACCTAACTGAAATGAAACTGTATTAAAATAAGTACCTGGAATTGGTTTTGGGAACGGAGAAGAGACCCTTAGTTAAATTATTGAAATTTGTGTAAAGGATTTTTTTTTTGGGGGCGGTGGAATTAGACCTATCAAAACGAAATAACTCCCCAAACTTTAGTAGAAAACCAGTGTCATGTCATGAAACAATCCTGTTTCTGAAAATTCCGTTCCTAAGTATCCAGTTTAGAGCTGCTTTGAAACTTAGGTTCAAACATCATTAGTTGTTTTCTTCATTTTCTGCCTTGTCTCTCCAGAGCTATTCCACACGGAGCGCTCGCACGTCCGGACGCTGAAAGTGCTGGACCTGGTGTTCCGGAGACCCATGCTGGAAGCTGGACTGCTGTATGACCAGCAGATGGACCGTGTCTTCAAGAACCTGGAGAAGATGCTGGAGCTACACAGTAATATTAATAACTCCTTTAAAGCCAAGCGCAAGGAGAACCCTGTTGTTGGTGAGGTTGGAGACTTGTTACTGAGTTTGGTAAGCAATTCCCTACTTTTGTGGTTTGTCATTGACGATTGAAGTTTTGGGTTTACCATTTATTTGTTGATCATTGTTCTACTATCTTTTGTACAGTTTGATGGCCCTGCTGGCCATGAGTTTGAAGTAGCAGCTGGTACTTTCTGTGCACGGCAACAGATATCCTTAGAGACTCTGAAAGATCGGCGCAAGAAAGAACCAAAATTTCATAATTTCCTAACAGAAGCTGAAGCTAACCCAATGTGCAGGCGACTTCAACTGAAAGACATATTGCCAGCTGGCATGTTGCGGTTAACGAAGTATCCTCTCCTATTTGAAAATCTATTGAAGTATTCATCAAATCCAGATGATTCCTTTTCGCCTGAGTATGTCAAAATACAAAGGGCTCTGGAGAGAACAAAGGAAATTCTGAACTATGTTAATGTAGCTGTTAGAGAAGCTGAAGATAATCACAAGCTTGTGGGAATACAGAAACGTATTGACCGATCAGCATTTGATAAATCTGATGGGTGCCAGGAATTCCGGGTAACTACTTTATTTCTCTTTTGCTTTTTTCTCTGTCGCATTTTTAACTCTTTTATAAGTTGTTTTTATTTCTGGTATCTATTTTTGTTTTTATGATTTCAATTATTTCTTTTAATTATTAGAACCTGGATATTACAAAACATAAGTTAATTCATGAGGGTCCCCTCAACTGGCGCATTGGGAGCAGACAGAAATTTGTAGATTTGCATGTACTACTTATGGAAGAAATCATCATATTACTGCAAAGACAAGATGACAAATTTATTTTAAAGTATTACAATGTAAATTCAGGAGGCGCAAGCTCTAATGAGCGCGCTCCAACTTTGTCCCCGATAATTAAAGTGTCCACTGTATTAGTGCGGCCAAATGCTGTTGGTATGTAAGATGCAAGTTGTATTGTTTCATTCTCTGCACTGCTTTGTATTACAGCTCTATGGTTTATAAATCACTGTATTTTTTAAACCAATAACTGAATAGTTACTAATGCTAATTTACTCAATTTTCAGACAAGAAAGCGCTCTATTTAGTAAACACTTCACATAACGGGGCACAAATTTATGACCTTGTAGCTTCTTCCTCTTCTGAAAGAAAAGTGTAAGTTCCTTTTTAGTATGTGTCAAAATCCATTCTGCTAAAGAACTTTTAAATCAACAGTTATCAACTTTCCAGATGGTTTCGTCGAATATCAGAAGCTGCTGAAAAGTATAAGAAAACTGATAACAGAAGTCGCAGATCTGAAGTCTCCAATAATCAGCCAGATGAATCGATGGATGGTGATAAAGACAAAGTGTAAGTGACCCCTTCATCATCTTAGATCTTACCTAGGCTTTTTTTAATTTTGTAATGACTGGAATTTTACCCTTTTCCAGTCCTGATGATGTTCCTCAGAGTTGTCCTGAGGATGATACATCTGTTTCGGATAAACATCCTGGTGATGCATTATCAACCAGTACCCCTGTTGCAAGTGGCAATATTCAAGGTCCCCAGTCATCATCAACACCCAAAACACCTACTGGTGGTAGGATTAAATATTTTATCCTTTGAGATTAAAGTTTTTTTTATGAAATTGCGATATGTACTACAATTACCCTCTCTTTTGATACAGATTCCGTTGTTTCACCCTCGTTCCATAGGAGGAGTGAGCCCTTAAGGCTTACAACTGAAGAGAATGCTCTCATTGAACCGTCAGAAGTAAGAGTTTCACAACGGTCTGTCCTAACTGCGGAACCAGTTCTTACTCCCATAGGTAAGTCTGCCAATCTATAGAAACATGCAATACCAAACACTTAATCTGCAATGTTTTGAATCACTAACTATTATCTGTTTGTGTATTTTTCTCAAAGAGCGATTAAGAAGAAAGGATGAAGCCGTTCGTCAAGCTCTCTTGGAAAAGCAGCAACTAGTTGCGGATATTCTACATGTTCCGCGGGAGGAGTTTAGCACTATTGCTGAAATTGCTGCTCAGCCCAGCCATGACAAGGAAGCAGCAGAAGTTGTGCTTGCTGCTATTAATCAAGGTAGCGTGTGTGGGATGTATGAAACTGGCTCTCTATTTTTATCTTCAATTCATTAATTGGTTTTATTTTTACTCCTTTCAGTCAATTTGTTATCGTCGGTTCTAAATGAGAGTTTACGAGTATCAGAAGAAGACACTGTAGTGGCATCTGTAGGATCCTCCCCGCGATTGGATCGGCGATCAACCTGCATGCCAAGTGTTCCAATTGATCGTTTAATAGATGTGTCTTCCTCAATTGGAACTCAATTAACACAGTTGTTGAAAATGATGAAAGAGAGAGACGAGGAACGAGAAAGATTGAGACGTGAACTTCAAAGGTGTCGAGAACAGCTTCATGTGATGCATGAAAGTCAAAGGAGAGAAAAGGCTGAATCACAACCCAACACTCCTTCTGATAATGAAATAACAGGTGGTGAAGGAAGCTCCAATCGGCTTTCTAATGAGTGGAACAATGATGTCTCTGAAGGTATGAGTCTAGACCTATAATATTTACTTTTTTGGCTCTGGGATCAATCTCATATAATCTTTTAAAACTTAAGTCTTGGAAGAATTACTTCCAAGGCTGTCACTTGCAGGGGAGACTGAAACAGAATCGGGACAGGACAGTGCAGCATCTGTGGTTCTGAAAGAAAAAGAGGTAAGCTTTCTAATAACTCTCCTCAAATATTCCAATACTTTTCAGTATCAGTAATTCAAAAAAAAAATATTCAGGAGGAGGATGGAACAACTGACTGCGGAGCAGCTGAAAAAAGAAGTGGTGTGAATGAGAGTGAGGGCAGTCCACACTAGTCATTCACAAGAGGAAGAGTCTCAAGGTCAACCAACTATCCTATTCATAAGTTAGATGCAGGCATTTATAAAACTGGAGTCTTTATCTCCTTAGCAGCTCTCAGTGCCCCGGAGCTGAAACTAGTCTTAGCATCTCTTCTGAGTATCAAGTACTTAGTCTTTAGGGTGTGGAATTCTCAAGCATTGTTATTGTTACTAATTCAATGCACTATTTTACCTGTAACTGTTGCACCTCTCCTCTGAAATTGTTACACCTAACATTGTCACAAATGTTGATTTCATTTGGGTGCAACATTACAAATTTAAGTGACATGTAGAGAGAGAAACTATTTGTAGATAACTGTTAAAATCTATTTTAAGTGTCCTTTGTTATTGCTTACCAGTGTGCATATGTTTTCAATTGAATATCATTTTTAATCAATTTCATCCTAAGTTTTCCATTGCAAAACTGTGATACTGTGCATCAGGAGTGTGATGTGTATGAGGAGAGACTTTTGGGAAAGCTGTTGTATTCTTTGGTGTGATATCATTTTGTTTCTTTTTGTGTATTTATTTAATGGGAAATCTTATTGTCGTGCTTGTGTTAAAATCATGTTTTTGTTTTGTTTTCAATGAAATATTTCAGAGTTGAACAGTCGGGATGTGTTGAAGTGAAAATCAATTCACATACTTGAACTTTTTAACAGACATTCTTCTGGTACTTGTTCATATTTCCACAATCTTTTTTCCCCCTTTTTCAGATACAAGACAAAAATTAGTGCTTGAATATTCTATCATAACCTTAGACATTCCAATATTAAACCCTAAGGTTCCGATTAAAGTTCTTTGGAGCTCTGTTCAAGTAGTCCCAGCTAAATCATTAAGTTCTTTGCCATCAGACAGACATTCGTAAAATGATAGAATTTATTTCAATTGCATATCTAGTTATATATGTTACGAGAAATATGAATTTGGTACTTAAGTTCTGAACTGATGTCTTTATTCTGTTATTTCCCTGTTTGTATCAACTGTTCAGTTACTTCTACTTTTAAGAAAATCAATGTTAAAATGAATTTTGTTTTTTTTAAATCAACGTTTTGAGTCTTAACTTGTTTCTTGACTGATCAAGTTTTAATAATGGCCTATATTATCCTAAATTTCTTGTCTTTGTTTTATTATTTCTATTTTGAGTGAGTCTTTTGGGAACATTCAATAACTCTTATTCTTAATTCCACAATTTAAAATATGTTCTATTTTCTTGTTCTTTACCTGTAAGATGTTTTCACAGATCTATGTGCAAAGTTTAGTAATTATCTTAAATTTATTTTTTTATTTGTGAAAGTATTGTCCTTTCATATATATGAACTTGCATGTAAAATTAATTGCTTTTTGCCATATATCTGAGAGTTCAGTTGGCAAATTTGTGAACGTCGACTGTTGCTTTTAAATTAAAATTATCTGCAATGACACTGTATTTTAGTAAATCTCTTAGTTGAAATTTCTTAATTCTGACTTTTAGTTTTGAATTGTTGGAGTCTAGTCACATGCTCTTTGCATGTCTAGTGTGACTCTGCATTTGCCAAGTCACACAGTCTCATTTACCAGCATTTTTGCTCTATAATTTGTGTTACAAATGTACCTAGCATTTAAGCCAAATGTGACTGTAAGTTTCAATTTGGTTACATTTATGAGCATTTCAATCATTCAATCTGATGTTTTTAGGAATCCTATTCTCAGAAAACAAGAACTGTCAACATTGATTCAAAGATGAGGCAGAGAGGTGAAGTAGCATCCGTACTATCATATGCTCTCTCTAGTTTGCACTTGTTCATGCATAATCAAATAATCTTAAAGTTGTGGTGTTTCTATCCATCTCAAGTCATTTTGTGATTCATGGTTTTTTAATGCTATGACAATTACAGAGATGAATGGTATTGAATTGTAAATGATAAAGTCATTCTAGAAGTAATATTCCCATCAAAACAAACTGAAAATCCAAAGATGCAAATGAATATTGTTGTTCTTTAGTGTTGTTAAAGTAGTTTATTCATCATTTATCTATGTGATTCCAGTTTTTAAATTATTGTTAGTTTAAACAGATTTTAGTTTGACAAAAATCAAGTGGTTGGAGCTACTGCTCTCTTGCTTCTGTAAATTGTAAAGTAGATGAATATTACACTTGCATACTTGTACTTTGTTTCCCTGTGGTGTCTGTGGAAGTCCCAAGACAGCTCCAATTACTGTACCATCTGATTAATTTTAGTATTATCGCACTCAGCTGCATTGAAAACCATTGGCAGATTGATTGGCACCATGATAGTAAAGATCAGTATTGGTTTGGCTTGACACTAATGCTTACAGCCCCTATTCCAGTGAAGCTGATTTTAAAATATTATTAATGTATTAGATCTTTGTATATTATGTTGAATAAAAGAATCAGCAAACAATTTCCTGAACTTTAAGCTCCTCTTACAATAATCAGACTTACATTTGTTGAGGGTACCATACTTGATTAAAGAAATGTGTAAAAGGCTAAATTGTACAGTATTCATATATGGTCAAACAAAAGAAATCACTTTTATTGATCACTTGTATTTGAAGATTCAACATTAGCTGGTGATTGAAAATCAATAATTAAACTAGCCCCATCAATTACTGTATCAGCTTCAAGTAACTTTTGTAATTGTATAGACATATCTTCACACAATATTTCACCACTCATGTGAAAAAGGCGGAGTTTAGGTGATGATGGATTAGGGTCAGTAATAATTTTGCACTGATCTCCAATTTCATCGACAACTCGACCTAAAGGCCATTCTTTGTTAACAAATACTGCCTTGCTTTGAGGCTCTGTGCTTCCGTTGGGAATCCAATGAGCAAGAAAGTATGTTCGAGAGGAGATAGGCACATTTTTCCGCCCTGTAGCTTTCTGCTTTATCCTCATCAGCTGAATTTTATTAGCAGTGTCCTTCTTTGTTCCACTTAATGCTCGATTTTTTTCTATTTTCTCATCAAGCATTTTATTGACAGCTTCTTTAGCTTGATTGAATTGTCTTTTAGGGGCTTCAAATCTTTCTCGGCGAGCCCTTTGTGCTTCCCTTCTGGGATCCATGCATCCATGGTGGCGATGTGATACACAAAAATGTTTTTTGCAATGAGTGCACAGCAGCTCTATCACGTCCCGCACATCACAAGCATCAGAACTGCACGGGTAGCTCTCTATGGTAGCCACTGCCTGATCATCAGAAATTGAATTGTCTGGCACGCTTGAGCACTCATGATTCATGGGTAATGAATGATCTTTGCAAAAGGTTTGGGAACAGTAGTTACAACTGATTGGCAGGAAATCCAACTGTGAGCAAGTGGCGACAAAGCATCGCTCACCTATCTTAGGCAGCTCCATTTTTTAGTGCTGGTCCTGGTTAGTTCTGGAGCGGCTGGGTCTGCTGGTCTCTCAGCACGTCGAGGGATAAGTCAGTCCACCGTTCCTCTTGTTTCTTCAATGTCATTTGCCAGTCTCCGTTGTCTGCGTCTGGATCTGGGAGCTCAGCAAGAGGCACTGAAATATCTTCTTGAGGTAACTTGTCCTCCTTCCACGCTGTGTCCACTACTTCTGATATATGGCCAACGAGAACTTGACTGTCAAGGCCAGTGCGCAAGTCACCCTGGACAACAGCCTGACTGTCAGTAGCCTGCAAATGGGCCATCAGTCATAGCACCTTAAACAAACAAAAGAGAACGTGAACAAAACGAAACAAAACAAAGAAAGAATTGAACGATCCTAGAATAGCTTTAAGAGCACCAGAAATAACATGTGAAAGAGAAGTTCAGTGCTATCGTAGTCGTCGAAGTAACTCACTTAAACTGTAAACAATATTATATAACTCCGTAGCTGAGTGAACAACCCTCGAAGACAAGTAACCGAACTTCTCTGAGCAAATAGTAAATAAATATTGCCGAGGTTAAGCAAAATGACGGAGCAGCCGAACCGGTTGGGGAGGGGGGGTGGCGGTGGCGGTCGGTGTCGGATGAGGCACATGGCAGATGTGTGAGTCGCTGTGATGTCATATGAATGTGAATCGCACGTTGCATCATTCAATATTTTCCTTCTGCTTCCATGACACTTTTGACAGTTCTCCCTATCTTTTTGGGGCTGATTTTGATGACATTGAAGATTTTGTACTAATTCTCGGGTATATTTCTGCAAACGATTGGACTTCCTCGAGGGTCATCTGAATGGGTGTTGGCGATCGAACGGGGAACAACGCTGACGCTCAACCACCTGGGGAGTTTTGCAACCTTATGAAGCAGTAAGTATGTGCCAAATGTTGTTTACCGATTGAACGAAGGGTTATGCCTAAAATATTTTCTTCGTAAAATCCTTAATTATGCTTTGCTTTTTAATTTTCTTGCAAGTTCCATTTATTAATGAAACAGCTACAAATCACTCTACACACCATCGGTTTATCTTCCACAGGCAATATCATATGCTTGAAAAATGCCCCAGTTTGATGTGATCAGTAGCTCAGGAGGTAAGCATTCCAAGAGCAAAAGACTAGGCTCTTTTCCTAGAGGTACAGCTGCTTCAGCAGACTCTGATACATCTGGATTTGGTCGCTTAAAGTACGAATTTGACTCCGATTCTACCATGCCTCCCATACTACGGTATGTCAAACCTTATTAATTCCTCCCTTTTTGGACTGTCTGACACTATTGACTTTGTTTTGTATACTGAAACCAAACATTTTCCCCATGATATAGGGCTCGGCTCCGTGAGTTATTTTCACAGATAGAGAGAGAATTTGAATCATTGTACACAGAAAATGCTCAGTGTGAGTACTTTGTGTTTACTTTTCCATTGATAAGGTCGTGGTTGTCCTGTGTCTATGTAATTAACTTTTTTTCTTTAGTGCAAGAGAAAGTGGATAATTTAAATGAAAGATTAGAGAGAGAAACGGCATTGTATGAAAAACATGGTATAGATTGCCCGGATTTTGAGCATGTTACTAAATCTGCTTCCAAATACAAGGGTATGTGCTCGTTTAATTAATGAAGTTTAATCTTAACGTATATTTCGCTTACCAAAGTTTTGTTTTATAAAATAAGGTCTTGGCTCGTCTCAAAAACTCAAAACAGCACATAAACTAAAAGCCCAGACAAGCAAAATAGTGTCAAGCTTTAAAGGCCCTACCATTGGGTGTTCGCTTGTGAGTCAGTTTTCTGGTCATCGTGATGGTGTGTGGGATGTTTCTGTCGCACGGCCTGGGCAGGCTTTGATTGGAACTGCATCTGCAGGTAATTTCTTACCAAATCAGTTATGCTCATGCAAAGGATTTCATTCTGTTGAAAAAATATTTCATTGCTATCTTTGATATTTTTAGACCACAGTGCTTGCATTTGGAGTGTAGAGAAAGGTCGTTGTTTACTTCAGTACCTAGGACACCAAGGTTCTGTGAATTCAATCAAATTTCATCCCTCGAGGGATTTAGTCTTGACAGCAAGCGGAGATCAGACTGCTCACATCTGGCAGGCTGCAGTTACATGGGAACATGTTGTAAGCTACTGCCTTATCAGAAAACAATCTTTTGAATTCATTCTTTTCTTTATAAATTAGTTTACATTATGTAATTCTGAGTGATTTAACTCTATCTTTAGAAGAAGCCATCTTCCATGGATGAAGATGATTCAAACTGTGATAAAGATGATTACGGAGCAGACGACTTTGCAGCTGAGCTGATGGATGGGTCGCCCTGCTTACGCACTCCGGTACGCGAACTTGTAGGACATTCTAATGCCGTCATGGCTGCTGACTGGCTTCCAAATGCTGACCAAGTTATAACTGCCTCTTGGGATCGTACAGCTTCTTTGTACGATGTTGAGACAGGGGAGCTCTTGCATTCGCTGTGTGGTAAGGATTTTTTATCTTTACTTATACTTAATTGTATTCCCCTACGATATGCAGTCAAATACTTATTTATTTTTAAATATCTATTTTATCAGGGCATGATCAAGAACTTACATATGCATCTTCACATCACTCTCAGCGTCTTGTGGTGACTTCATCAATTGATACAACTTTCAGGCTGTGGGATTTCAGAGAGCCCATTCACTCTGTCTCTGTGTTTCAAGGCCATACAGAGTTAGTATTATTTGCATACATTTTTCCTTTTCTTCTCACTAAATAATCCATCTATTTCATGTTTCGTTTTATTACTAAAATTCTTCATTCTTATAATATCTACAGGACTGTTACATGCGCTGTTTTCACTCGTGAAGATAAAGTTGTCTCTGGCTCAGATGATAGAAGTGTCAAAGTGTGGGACCTTAGAAATATGCGGTCACCACTTGCTACCATTCGTTCCGACTCATCAGCTAATCGTATTGCAGTATCTCCTTCTGGAGTCATAGGCATACCGTACGATAACCGACAAGTGCGCTTGTTTGACCTCAGTGGTAATCGTTTGGCAAGATTACCTCGATCAAGCAGACAGGTAAATAATTAATGTGTCTGTTATTAGCCTGTTAACTTGAATCGTTCTGACAAAAAATTTGTGTTTTTCTCAGGGTCATCGTCGCATGGTATGCTGTGTTGCCTGGGGAGATGACAAAGCAGATGGCTCCACAAACTTCTATTCGTGTGGTTTTGACAGATTAGTATTAGGATGGTCAATTCAACCCTGTAAAGAAAATTAGGTATATCATTGGTGAAAGTTATTTCAGCAAATAATTGTGCTTATTTTGTTGGGATTAGATTATCATGAAGGTTGATAAAATTGTTGGTTTGTCGAACTTTATTAAATCTAATCTGCTTTCAGAAGAAAAAATATGTACTCCAGCATAAGTGGAGAAATTTTAAAAATTTGGCACTATCAGGCTTGGGGGCATTTACATAAGACTGAAATTTGCAAATACCCAAAGTTGAATTGAATTTTCAGGATAAGAATGCTCTTTAATTTTTATGGCCGGGAAGTCAACCAAGACCAAATATTCTTTTGAGACAACATTAATTTTGTGAGACGCTTCCTTACTTAAGTTCTTGTCTTAATTTTTTTTTCTGCTTTAAAATTTGCGTTTTTGCTTTATTGCATTGAAACAAACAATGATTAGAAAGATAGTTACCAAGATTTTAGTCTATAGATACAAAAATAGAAATGCGTGAAGCAAACCTCTGGAGTTCTTATGTGAGGATTTTCAGTTGGGCAATACTGTTACCAATTTGTTCTTTTAATTTATGCCTCTGTGATCCTTGTGCTTCAATTTGAAGAAAAATGTTCTGTAATGGTATACAAATTACAATTATGGTTGTAAGGTTATTTTGAGTCTTTATTTTGAGCCCTGAAAAACTTACATTATTTCCTTTCTCGAAACTAATGAGATATTTTAATGATTGTGAATATATATATATTTGTTTCTTTAATTCATACAGGTTAGTTCCTTATTTTATTTTTTATGGAAAAGTAGAAATGTCCACCACTTAGGATCACAAAAAATTTGATGTAATGAAAGATTCTGTTGTTGCTGCCCCTACTCTGGCCAGCTGAGCGCTTTGCCTTCAATCTTGAGTCGGAACGGGTGGGTCGAGTACTTCTGCGGATTCTGCAGCAGCTGCCTGACTCTCTGCTGATACTGCTGCTCCTCTTGCCTGGCCTGCTCCAACTGCAGCCGCTCCTCCTGCGCCTGTCGATCCTGTGCACAGGCAGGGATGTCTAAATTATTTGCTGTTGTTTTTTTTAAATTTTTATTATAATTATTTAAACTTGCACACATAATCGTCACTCTATTAAAATGATCCGTGACGCGTGCCCCACCTTGAGCAGCTTCTGGTAGCTGATCTGCTGGCGCAGGTCGTCGGCGTAGCGCCGCTGCTCCTCGGCCTTCCGCCTCTGCAGGTCGGCCGCCAGCTGCAGGTTGTCCTCCCGGCAGCGCCGCACCCGCTCCGCCTCCTCCGCGGCCTCCAGCGCCTCGCGCGCCCGGGCCATCTGCGCCGTCTCCAGCTGCCGGCGCCGCCCCTCCAGCGTGTCCTGCACATGCACACCGACATGCACCGCACTCGAATTTTGTTGGGTGGGGTACTTTTACCACTGCATTTCTTTTGTTTTGAGCGTTCCAGATAAAATTAAAATGTAGACATCGTCTTTCCTAGTGGGCTAGGGGGTCGTCCACAATATACGCCCGGTTTTTTCTTTCTGAAATTCGGGGAACTGGGCGCCTGCGAGACTACGAGTAGGCCACCCCGCCGTACACCCGTGCACTGCAGGCAAGATGTTGCCTACCCGCAAGGCGCCGAGAGCTCGCACAGGCTGAACTTGGCAATTTCGTGACGGCAGAGACGGACGCACTTTCCGAAAAATCCCCTAGCACGGCTTCCCCTCCTCACCTGCAGCATGCGCTTCCGCGCAGCGTTGGCCCGACAGCGGCGCTCGTCCTGGTCGCGCTGTATGGAGGCGGCGTGCTCGTCGCGGATCCGCTGCTCCTCCAGGTCGGCCAGCTCCTGCTGCTTCCGCAGCGCCGCCACGTGCGCCATGAACATCTTCATCTCGGCCGCCGCGTCCACCTGAGGAGGGGGAGGCGAGCCGTCTGAGCGGGAGCCGGGCGTCGCGCTGCTCGCGGCTCGGGACGGGCTGCCCCGGCAGGAAGCGGACCGTCTTGGGCGCGGCTGCGCCTCGCTGCGCGCCCTGCTGCACGTCCTGCCGGGCGGCCCGCCTCGCCACCGCCTCCAGCACGCCCTGCTGCACGCCCTGCTGCACGCCCTGCTGCACGCCCTGCTGCACGCCCTGCTGCACGCCCTGCTGCACGCCCTGCTGCCCGCCCTGCTGCCCGCCCTGCTGCGCGCCCTGTTGCATGTCCTGCCGGGCTGCCCGCCTCGCCACCGCCTCCAGCACGCCCTGCGCCACGGCCTTGACCACAGCGTCGCGCGCCACCCGCCGCACGGCCTCGGGGGCCACCACCCGCGGTGGCTGCTCGAGTCGGTCCGCGGCGCCACCGGCCCGCTTGCCACCGTCGCCCATCAGCTTGGAGTGCATGTCCACCAACAGCTCCGGGCCAACGCTCTGGGCACGCGGTGGTGGGCCCCCCCACCGGTGCCGGACGCGGGAGACGGGAGGGTGGGGCAGGTCGGGGGTCGCGGTGCGGGGGTGGCCCGGCGGCTGACCGTACCGTCCCCACCCCTCCGCCCTCCGCCACGTCCTCACGACACAACGCTGCTGCACTTCAACTTCATACGTCGTCGTATCGTATATGACTGCTGCTTCGTTGAGAAAACGTGTTGGTCACCACTGACAAAAAAAACTTTGACTGTTGTCACTAAAATTGTGTTGTCTGCCTCTGATTTTGAGTGAGGGTCTAACTTAAACACGCCCAAAACGGCACGTCTTAAAAATCAGGTGAGGGGGTACTGAACACCACTCTGTTTCATAGATCAGGATGGTACGGGCTGCGCCATATACTCACCTTGGAGCGGTCCGCCTTCTCCTCCTGGATCTGCTGGCGGGCCGACCTCGCCACGGCCTCGTCCAGCGCCGAGTGGCCGTCGGCCTCCTCCGCCATGGCGCGCTCCCGCTGCCGGATCTGCTCCTCGAACAGCCGTTGCAACTCCTCCCGCTTCAGCCGCCGCCGCTCCATCTCTTCAAAAAAAAAAACACGGCGGGAAAGAAACTCAGAAAAGTCAGATAAAAATCATGGCAAAATCACTTCAAAAATCCGAAAAATTCAGAAAATCATAAATAATCAAGAAAATGAAGGGGAAACCAGAAACATCGGTGTGCTCTTTCATTGGAGCACCCCTGGCCGGTTGACCGTACCCCGCAGGCGCTCCTGGTGCAGCTCCTCGCGCAGCGCGTCCAGCCGGCGCACGGCCTCGGCGTGCTCCTCCTCGCGCTGCCGGTCCTGGCGCTGCTGCTGGTACTCGACCTGCTGCCGCAGCGCGTCGCACAGCGCCTTCTTGCGGGCCAGCTCCTCGCGAGCCTCGAGCTCCTCGCGCTCCATCTGCAGAGAGCGGGGCACGACGATTCTCACGTGGGGGAGCCGTGTATTTCGGTTCGGAAGGCCATAAGAAATGCACCCCGTCGTTATTTAATTTTACGCATGGAGTACATTTTTCACGGGGAAGTAGTGCTTTGAGGTCATGATAAAATGTGCCCGCGTAGATGAGCTTTTCCTCGATTTTCAGCGTTGCGCACAAGGTTCCGGCATGATGGCATCTCTAGCGCCTGCGAACTCGGGGGTAGGCAAACTCTCGACACGGGTGTCGTGCGGCTCTGCCTACCCGCCTGGCGCTCGCCCGCCCCGCACGGAAAAAAAAGAACTAGCTAAATTAGCTAATGCGTTCGCTAATATGGCCTTAGATTAGAATATTAGCTTTCCTAGCTAATTCCCAGCTAAGAAAGCTAAAATATTAGCTTTTACAGCTAGTTGCTTTATTTTGTACACAACTGTCGTGGCTAATTTATTAGCTCTCCTTGCAAAGAATTAGCTATGAGAGCTTATATTCTAGTCTAAGGCCATATTAGCGAATGCATTAGCTAATTTAGCTAATTCTTCACCTGCGCCTGGATGGTCTTGATGTGCAGCGCCTGCTGCAGCCGGCGCTCCTCGCGCGCGGCCTCGAGCTGCTCCTGCCGGTCCCGCATCTGGCCCAGGTTGACCTCCTTGCAGGCCAGCGTGAGGGCGGCGCGCTCCGCCAGCCGCAGCGGCTCGATGCGCTCGCGGTCCTGCTTCTCGCGGGCCTGGGCCACCACCTGCGGGCGTGTAGGATGTCCCCGTCAGCGGCGGTAAAGCGCAAGCAGCGTGCGAATGTCGCGCACCTGCAGGTGTGTGAATGTATCGAACACGTGTGGGAGTGTGAACGACATTCGTACGCCTTTAGGTGTGTTGAACGACATTCGTACACACCACGGTGGCACAAGAAAAGTGCGAATTTTAACGGAAAGTTGACACTTTCACCCACCTACAAGTGTGCAACATTCATACACTTGACTTTCCAGCGTATCGCGTGTCCTTACTTTTTTTTTACAGTGTCACCCAGGTATAGCAGAGCTGCACAAAATGTGCATTTTGTTGCCAATCTAAAAAGCGCCTAAACCGCGTGTAGGCGCCTAATATGCGCGTACGTACATGCGCCTAAAATGCGCGTTTCAGATGGGACATATCATGCGGTTCGAATGCAGTTTGCTTCATTTTGCTACCTGGGCAGTGTAACGGTAAGAATGACGACGGAGACGTCGGCTCTGGTTCAATTTTTTAGTTGAGACGCTGATGATTCGCCCGTTTCATATGAAGTAAGAGGGCTCGGCCCGGCTCGGCCCGGCTCGTTCCTCGTCAGCCGCGGCCGAACACACGCGCCTTAATGATCGATGTGGAATAGGAAATATCAGCCCCGGCGCTCGGCGCGCGCCGCCGACACGACGACGAGAAAAACTATAAATATCGAGCGGCTATCGGCGGCGGGAAGTGCATCAGGGGTAATCAAGACATGGATTATTTGTGGCGGCGCGCGGGGGCGGGCGAGCAGCGAACACAACCCGCCAACGCCGCCGCGCCGAGACAAACACTGTCGAAATCAACGGGCGATACAGGGAAGGGGTCGTACATTTACAATTCAAAGATTGTAAACGTACAAAAAGCACACATTCCACTCCTACCCGAGGGGGCTATGGCGCCCTCGTGGGCAGATCGGGTAAAGGCGCACCCGCGCGCTCCCGCGTCTTCTCTGAATCACCCGGCACATGCAAGACACGGATTATTTGAATTTGGTTCTCTGAACGAGACGGTTCTACTGCACGTGCACGTGCCTGCTGGCGCTGCTGCTCGGCGCGCTCCTTGAGGGCGGCGGTGCGCTCCCGGGCCGCCTGCTGCAGGTCCACGACGGCGCGCGCCGCCCGCTCGCTCAGCTCGCCCTCCATCTCGATGCCCTCGGCCGCGAGCAGGGAGCGCAGCCTGCAGACAGGAATCACAATCATCAGAGATCAACCGTGGACACCCTGGAATTTAGTATTCAAATAAAAGATCGCTCACAATTTAAGTCATTTTCGACGGGTGGGGTAGTTTTATCACGGCACTATACTTGAACTTGGTGTTGTAAGCGGAAGTGTTTGAGAGGGCATGATAATTGTATCCCCGTAGGTAACATTTTCCCGGTCGGGTTACTTTATTATGGCTTCTGAAAAAGCTTCCACTTTCAACTGTGAACTCGAATAGAGGGCCGTGAAAAAAGTACCCAACATGTGAAAATGACATATGGAGTGCAGTGCACACCCCTGATGACCTTTTGTTTGTGTTCTTATATCTAATTGCCAGTAAATTTCCTCCCTGATGAGCGTACTACTCACTGGTCCCTACGGCGCAGCAGGTCCAGGTGCACGGAGCGCTCGGAGGCGTGCGCCAGGGCGGCCGCCTGGCCGTGCATGACCTTGGCGCGCGTGGACTCCTCGAACTCCATGGCGAGCGCGAGCCGCTGCAGCTCCTTGCTCGTCTCCTGCTCGACGGCGGCGTCGTCCCCGGCGGCGCGCTGCTGGGCCTCGTACTGCTGCCGCAGCGTGTCCGAGCCCGGTGGCCGCATCACCTGGCAAAATTTCCAGAACAAGCATTTTACAAACGTCAATGGCAATTTCCCACACTG